CCTTCCTTTACGCGTTTTTTATTTATCGGTCATTATGCTTTTTTCCTTGGAAAACAGGGGCTTCGTTCCTTATTTATCGTTCCTTAGGTCAGGCCGATGACTGTATTGCAGTTGGTTTTATTTTCTGGGGCCATTAACTTTTGCGGCCTTTGTTCGTGTGGCCTCCAAACTTTGGACCCCGACGGCCTTCCTGGATTGGTTGGTATTCGGCTGATGCATGCCTGAGACGAGAGGTTTAAGGATCTAGTGCTCATGGATGAACACCTTATATCTTGTATGGCCCCTGACTATTGTTGTACTAATCAATGGATGCGAGTGTCTCGCTTTTGGGCGTACCTTCTCCTCTTCCTCCTCTTCCTCCTCCTCCCACTATTGGAGGGACAGTGAAGGGAACCAGGAACTCGGTGATTGAGGGACGTTACTTTCTCTGGCAGGCCGGTGTCGATCGACCTCATGCGCAGCATCAGCAGCGTCGTGCCCCAGGAGGACGTCTTCCTCAGCGCGCTCACAGTGCGGGAGACCCTGGCCTACGCGGCCCAGCTGAGGCTGCCGCCTGGGTGCAAGAAGGCCCCTGGCGGGCCGCGCCGCCCTGGAGGGCCAGAAAGAGGGGGGTTCAAGAGGTGTGATGGTGTGTATTTTAGCCTCGCGGGCCAGACGGGGGGTTGTCCAAAAAGTGTGACGGTGTGGATCCGAGACTGCTGTTTTTCGGAGCTTGGCGACAATCCTCTTCCCTGGATCACTTGACCTTGTCGGCTGAAGGGGCTGGGTGCGCAGTGCTGGTGCACGCGGGCACCTCCCCCCCCCGTCCCCCCACTGGATGATCCGGGCTGTGGCTCTATGGCTGGGACATGAACAATTATCGATCTTAGCAGCGGCCATGACGTCTCCCCGACATCATGGCCCCCTCTTCGTCTCTGAACACGTTCTCTGCCCCCCCCCCCCCCTCTCCGCGCACGTGCGTCGGGGCCCCACGTGCCAACCCCAGTCTTTTCACGCCATCTTTTTCGACGCCCCCCCAGGGTGCGGGCACGGGGATTCGGATTCAGTCCAGCGGACGGAGCCTCCAGGGGCCATGATCGAGGCTGCAGGGTCGAGGATTGATTTGGGTGCGCTTTTCTGCGGCTTGTCGGCGGTTTCCAGAAATCCCGGGACGTTTTGGGGTCCGGAGTTTCTGTCGTTGTGCGGCCGGTTTGCTTCTGGGGCGTTGCCTGGTAGACAGACAGTCAAGACGCTGGAGTGAGGACCACGTTGGGTTCAGGAGTCAGGCGATTGCAAACATGGACCAAGGAGGCGTGGATTAGCGACGGGTCCCGTTTCCATGGGGAATCGCAGATTTCCTCTGCCGATCGAGGCGACAACAGCCGCATTTTGGGGAGGGCACGTCCCCCGGTCCATAGATTTGGCGAACGTGCGCCAAATCCATGGATCGCTAATCCATGTTCGTGCGCCCCCGAGTTGATTTCAGGAGGGACCCAAGTTTTCGGGCCGTTCCTGAGCTCCAGGTCGGGGAGCCTAGTTATCGTGGCCGAGGCTCGCCATGTGGCCAGAGAGAGATCCCTTCGACGCAGGGGCCTCTCGCAGACGCGCCAGGCGCACGGACGTCCTCCTCGTGCTCAACCGGGGTGCAGCATGTGGGACTGATAGCTGGCACGAGAGAGCTACATTTACAGAAGAACATGCATGCTTGAGCATGTTCTATCGGAGGTTGGTGGGGCGAGATTGCAGTGGAACGGAGACCCCCAACCGGGAAATCGTTTCGTTGCGTTTGTGTCGTGCGTGCGAACGAGGAGAAGCTGCGTGGGCGCAAGAGAGGAATGAACCCGCCGCTGCTAGGGCGAAGTCAAGACAACTGATTTTCCCCCTCCCGCCCGTCCGGCGGTGGCCCGCGGTGTCCCGTGGTGTCCGCCGCTGCTTGGGCGAAGTCAAGACAAATGGTTCTCCCCCGTCCGGCGGTGGCTCGCGGTGTACCGCGGTGTCCCCGGTGTCCCGTGGTGACCCGTGGTGTCCCGTGGTGTCCCGTTGAGTGAGATCGATAGTGAGATCGGTATTGAGATCGTTGCGGTGCCCCGAGGTGTCAATCGGTGTCCCAAATAGTAAGATCCATAGTGAGACCGATAGTGGGATCGAGAGGTCTCCCGCTGTGTCCTGTGGTGTCCCGTGGTGGCCCGTGGTGTCCCGTGGTGTCCCGTGGAGTGAGATCGATAGTGAGATCAATAGTGAGATCGACAAGTGTCCCGTGGTTTTCCGTGGTGTCCCGTTGGGTGAGATCGATAGTGAGATCGATAGTGGGATCGACAAGTGTCCCGTGGTGTCCCCTGGTGTCCCGTGGTGACCCGTGGTGTCCCGTGGTGTCCCGTTGAGTGAGATCGATAGTGAGATCGATATTGAGATCGTTGTGGTCCCCCGAGGTGTCCCTCGGTGTCCCAAATAGTGAGATCCATAGTGAGACCGATAGTGGGATCGAGAGGTCTCCCGCTGTGTCCCGTGGTGGCCCGTGGTGTCCCGTGGTGTCCCGTTGAGTGAGATCGATAGTGAGATCGATCGTGAGATCGACAAGTGTCCCGTGGTGTCCCGTGGTGTCCCGTTGAGTGAGATCGATAGAGAGATCGATAGTGGGATCGACATGTGTCCCGTGGTGTCCCCTGGTGTCCCGTGGTGACCCGTGGTGCCCCGTGGTGTCCCGTTGAGTGAGATCGATAGTGAGATCGATAGTGGGATCGACATGTGTCCCGTGGTGTCCCCTGGTGCCCCGTGGTGTCTGGTGGTGCCCCGTGGTGTCCCGTTGAGTGAGATCGATAGTGAGATCGATAGTGGGATCGATTGAGTCAGATGTCCTCCCTTCTCCCCCCCCCAAAAACCTCCTTACCTATACGACCACCCTTCGGGTGATAAAGAGTTTGCGTGGGGGGGGGGAGAGGGGGGGGAACGTCTGACTCAATCGATGTAACCATCGATCTCACTCAACGGGACAACACGGGACACCACGGGACACCGCGGGACACCACGGGACATTTGTCGATTTTTTTATGGATCTCACTATCGATCTCACTCATCGGGACACCACGGGACACCGCGGGACATTTCTCGATCTCACTATCGGTTTCATTATCGATCTCATTATCGATCCCGCTCAACGGGACACCACGGGACACCACGGGTCACCTGTCGATTTCATCATCGATCTCACTAGCGACCTCACCGTAGGACACCGAGGGACACCTCGGGGCACCACATTGATCTCAGTATCGATCTCACTATCGATCTCACTCAACGGGACACCACGGGAAACCACGGGACACCACGGGACACCAGTCGATTTTTTTATCGATCTCATTATCGAGCTCATTTGTTGGGACACCACGGAACACCTCGAGGCACCACATCGATCTCAGTATTGGTCTCAGTATTGATCTCAGTATCGATCTCACTATCGATCTCTATCTTTGGGACACCACGGGACACCTCGGGGCACCATATCGATCTCAGTATCGATCTCACTATCGATCTCACTCAACGGGACACCACGGGACACCACGTGACACCGCGAGCTAAGGCCGGACGGGGGAGAATCATTAGTCTTGACTTCGCCCTAGCAACGGCGGACACCACGGGATACCACAGGTCACCACGGGACACCAGCTGGACACCGCCGGACACCACGAGTCGAGCCACCGCCAGACGGGGGAGAACCATTTGTCTTGACTTCGCCCAAGCAACGGCGGACACCACAGGACACCACGGGACACCGCGAGCCACCGCTGGACGGAGAAGAAACATTCGCCTTGACTTCGCCCTAGCAGCGGCGGGTTCTTTCCCCTTGCGCGCCCACGCAGCTTCGCCTCGCCCGCACGCACCACACGACCGAAACGAAACGATTTCCCGGTTGGGGGTCTCCGTTTCACTGCGATCTCACCCCTCGTTCTCTGATCTCCCGAAGGGTGGTCGTATAGGTATATGTGGACGTATATACATATATATATATATATACACTATGTTATATGATGTTTGTTTATATGTATATATATATATATATATATATATATATATATATCACATATATAACATATATACATACACCTATGTGCGTGTTTTGATGTTTTATTCGTTGCTTGTGGTACTTGGCACGATGACACTACCCCCGTTGCCCAGTGATCGGCACGGCGCCCCGCCCCGAGCGCCCGGCGGCCCCTGGACGGACCGGGGGGCCTTCATTCCGCTGCAGGGCGAGGCGCGAAGATGCCCGAGAAGATACCTTTGCCGCGCCTCGCGCCTCGGGCTGGGGCGGAGCCCAGGAGAGGGAGCGAGGGCACGAACACAAAAACTCGGAGTACCGCGAGGATGTCTTTGATCGGTGTCTGGCCCCCGCTCGTTTTGGCCTGTTTGGGCCTGTTTTGGCCCTGGCCTTTGGGCCCTGGGCGCCTTTTTGGCCCTGGGCGCTAACAGGCCCCGAGGCTCGCACCTCCCAGCGGGGTCGCCTGCACGGTAGTTCCTGCACGCAGGGCGGAGGCGAGCAGGCCTAGACATCGCATTGCAAAAAACGAACGAAAAACAGGCGGCTCCTCCAGCGCCGCCCCTGGCGCGCTCCGCGCGCCAGGGGCGGAGGGCCCAGCGCAGGGCCGAGCTGTTGGGTCATTGGCACTGCTTGTTCCCCGTGGGGGTCCGCGCAGTCCTCTGGGAGGCCTGGCCTTCAGCGGTCCCTGGATGCCTCCAGGGGCCCACGCATCGGGGGGTCTCAACGGGGGGAGTGCGTACTCGCCGGTCGTTGAAAGTATGTATTTCTGGATTCCCAGATGACAATTTACTTCAAGCGCCTTCCTACTTCAAGAATCGACATGCGTTTGCTGTGTTTTGTTATTCTCTGGGAGGACGGGGACATATTCCACTATATCCGCCTTCCTACTTCATGTTTCTACCTACGTCTTCGGACCGACGTATAAGTTATCCGGAAATCCTGGAGTAGTTGTGCCGTTGCTGGTTCGGCGTCTTCATCTTCCTGACCTGTGGCAGCGATAGGTTCTCCTTCGGCTCCCTAATTCTTGCGCTTCTTGCCGGCGCGCGTGTTGATATGTTCGTGCAGTTTTTGGCCCGAGCGATGCGAGTCTTCACCTCGTCGAACCTGTCTGCCAACTGCGTCTTGTAGTGCTGGAGCTCCTGGTGGATCTTCTGCAGGTCATCCTTCTCCGCAGTCTCGATTCCATCCAGCGGGTCCAGATCTGTGAATAATTCATCTCCCATACGATGTCGAAGGCTGCCTGAGGGTCGGCCTGCCCTTGCTGGCCTTCTCCCGTGCCGCCTCCGACCTCCTTTGCGAAAGCTGCTGTGGCCTGCCTCCGCGCCATGTCGACTTGTGCGAGAATGAGCGCCGTCTCCTTCTCCCGCTGCTGAGCCTTTTTCCAAGTTGGCCTGGCAGCGGATGACGGCAGCGACTGCTTGATCAAAGAAGCATTGGCGTCTCTCCACTGGCCTGATACACGCTTGACGGCATCTTCAGCTGTGGACGCCTTGCTGGTCGTCGATGGGGGGCGAGCTGAGCCCGCAACGCCTCGGTCACCTGGGCGAGGTGAGGCGCTGCGACGGTAGTGGCCAAGCTCTTGATGAGACCCTCAACGACGGTCTGCGTCTGCTGCTGCTGCTGCTGCGTCTGGTAGAACTGTTGACCGCGGGATCCGCGGCCAGTCTGGTGCAAGGTGTTGCCGTCGCTCTTGTTGTAGAGTGCGACGGTCTCCCCGCACTTGGCGCAGCGGCATTGGCGACCCTGGAGGCTCTGGTTCCAGTCCCACGCGCCGCAGGAGTCGCATCTGGACCACTGCGACTGCTGGCCTCGGGTCATCACGTAGCCGTATGTGTCTTTGCACTGTGTGGCCAGCCGTTGTCTGTGAAAATGCGTAAATCGCAGGCGAGCGGTGGTCCTCAGGCACTCCGAGAAAGCACAGTGCTGGACTGAGTACGGGCCTCGCGCACGGGGGCGCAGGGGCTTGGTGCTCGAGCCCAAGTTGCTTGAGTGGAGGGAGGAGGGAGGAGGAGGGAGGAGGGAGGAGGGAGGAGGGAGGAGGGAGGGGGGAGGAGGAGGGAAAAGGAGGAAGAGGGGAGGAAGAGGAAGAGGAGGGAGGAGGAGGAGGAGGAGGAGAGGAGGAGGAGGAGGAGGGGGAGGAGGAGGAGGGGAGGAGGAGGGAGGAGGGGGGAGGAGGAGGGGAGGAGGAGGAGGAGGAGGAGGAGGAGGAGGAGGAGGAGGAGGAGGAGGAGGGAGGAGGAGGAGGAGGAGGAGGAGCAGAAGGAGGAGGAAGAGGGGGTTAGGATGAGAAGGAGGAGGAGGAGGAGAAGGAGGAGGGAGGAGAAGGAGTCAGGGGCAGCCTTCGATTTCTGGGGGCCCGCTCCCTCGGAACCGCGGTGGGCGGGCGACCGCGAGCGCGCAGAGGCGGACTGGGACGCGAGGGTCGAGCACATCCTGGCGCTGCTGAAGCTCGGGCCTTGCGCCGAGGCGATGGTCGGGGACGACAGGCTGTCAGAGGAGGAAAGGGTCGGAGGCGACGACGGAGGCGAATAGCCCTGGGGCGGGCATTGTACGTGTTCGCCCGGGAGAATCGCAAAAGGCATGGAGCATCGGCGCCCCTGGATACGAGTATGGCTCTCCCCTGGGCTCTTCGCCCTCCTCGTCTCCCCCGAGAAAGCTACCGATATTGCTGCCCTGCCTCGTCGCCACCGCTGGATTCTCCCTTCAATTCGGGTCAGGACGCAGCCCGGGAGAGGACCGGGGAGTACAGCCAACCTACATAATAGGGACGGGCAACCTTCCAGAGGGTGCCCTTGCATCCTTGCCCCTTCGGCCCATCCTTGGCCACTTTCGCTGGCCAGTCTCGTGCGCAAAACGTTCTCATGGGCCTCCAAGGCCCTTGCATCCTCACCGCGCATCCTTATGATACGGGTTGACTGTAGCGGTAGGGGTTCAATTGTTTCTTTTGGTCTCCCCAGGCTGGGCTTATGTCGGGCCTGTCCCCATACAGGGGGACTTCCGACGAAAATAAAGAAAATCCCAAAAATGGTCCAAACATAGTCAGGGTACTATTTTTTGAATATGGTTTGATCTTTTTGGGGTATGTTCGGGGTATTTTTATTTTTCGTCGAAAATCCCCCTCTAGGGGACACGCCCGACATAAGGCTGGGCATCCGCGGCATCTCCGGGGGCGAGCGGCGCCGACTCAGCATCGGCACGGCGGTGATCGGGGGGCTGCCGCAGCTGCTGCTCTGTGACGAGCCCACCAGCGGCCTCGACTCTGCCGCCGCGCACGGCATCGTGGCGTTCCTGAAGTCGTTGGCGGACCGCGGGGTGACCGTGCTGTGCGCAATCCTAGGAGGCCGCATGCGGGCCCCACCCCACTACCCCACGCTTTCTCGGAGGGGGGAGGGTGGGGCTCACTTCGCTCGGGAGGTCCCGAGCGAAGGGGACCGCACATCTCTCTCCCCTCAGAGATCGTGGGGTGGTGGGGCAACTAGGGTTCGCAT